TTCCACATACTTGGACCTCAACAGCATTCTAAAACCTCCTTTCCCCTCCCCAATCCCTCATAACGTTTCTCATAACAGGTTATTCGACCTCCAGTCTCCTCCTCCCAAAGAACACCAACAAAACAGCAACAGCCATAATAGCAGCCAATATTTGTAGAGTGCACTGGGCCAGACACTGTCCATATACTTAACTCTTGAATTCAGTATCTTGCTGAATGCTGAATCCTCAAAAAATGTCAATCACATTTACAAATGAGATGCAACTGTAGCATAGAGATTAGGTGTCATGCTCAAGGTTATAAGTGACAGAGCTAGGATTTGAGCACAGTCTGAGTCTTTTAAGCACTGCTCACTGGCTAATACAACCATCCTGACAGACCTTTCTAGAATGCCACTTCTATCCTTTCACTCTCTTGATGATATCATAAAGAGCTTGATGTTTGCAAATGGACAATCAGAAACCCCCAGCATTTGAGATCTACCACCAATGGGCTTTGCCTTGGCTGGCCAACCTGACTTATCAGTGTGATAAAAGGTTAATAGTGGAAAACAATCTGACCTTCTCCAAGACAGCCCCCTCCATGTTAATCTTATATATTTTCCAAACTCTTTCCTTATGTACAATATCTTCCCTCCTTCCTGTTCATCATGCCAATGACCTGATTAAAGTTCTAACTACCTGTGAATGAAAGGTTTACTATCCTGGAATGGCCCCTTTCTCTCAATTCCTTTTGGAGTTTATGTAAGAAAACACAGTGTGAGTTGACTACCCGGTTACTCATGAAAAGTCCATTTTGTGTATAAACATGATCACTCCAAAGGAAAGTGTTGTTTAAATCATACAGATTTTACCTAAAGTTTGTGTACCATATGATAACATTTATGTGATACATAAAATTTAGTAAAATCTGTATGATTAGGGATGATGCTTTTATACATACAGAGATGCTCCTCAACTTAGAATGGGGTTCCATCCCAATAAACTCATAATTTGAAAATATCATAAGTCAAAAATATATTTAATATATTTAACATCATAGCTTAGCCTACCTTACCTTAAATGTGCTCAGAATGCTACTTAACATCATAGCTTAGCCTACCCTACCTTAAATGTGTTCAGAATGCTTACATTAGCCTACAGTTGAACAAAATCATCTAATAGCCTATTTCATAATAAACTATTAAATAGGTATCTCATGTAATTTATTGAACATGGTACTGAAAGTGAAAAACAATGATTGTATCGGTACTTGAAATACAATTTTGCTGAATACATATTGCTTTCATACTAGAGTCAAAAAGTTATAAGTCAAGCCATTGTAAGCCAGGAAGGGTCTGTATATTCATATATGTATATGTGTGTGTGCATATATGTATACCTGCATACATATATGACCATATATGTGTGATTTGTAATATATAGTCAATGCCTTCCATCCAAAGACCACTAGAAACATACCTGGTAATTGAACAGGTTGGATGTTTTCTCCTTGCAATGAGGCAAGATGAACATCATGGGGAACTATGGGGTATCTCCTCATGAGAGTGTTAGAAAAAATTTATAGGATTTGAGTTTCTGCTAAGTGGTCTTAGGTTTCAAGGTGGGGTTTTGTTCTGGATTGGATGCTGTCAGGAAGTGGGAGTGATTCTATAATTGGCCATGTAATAAGTCTTATCTAAAAGGAAAAAAAAAGACTATAAAGAGGCTCCCACTGTAATTGATGAAGAAGCAGCAGTCCCTCATATTAACTAGGAGAGGGTAATATTTGGCATCTTTGAAGTTTACATAGTCACTTTGCTTTTGTCTAGTTTTTACATATGAAGTGGTCTTGTTTGGATCTTGACCCATCACAGTCACAGAATGATCCTAATAGATATTGATATTCTGTGAGAGTATTTATCTTCAACAAGAGAACATCACAGTTGCATTGTAAGTGCCAGATCAACTCCTGGGCACCAAAACCTAGCTGACGTAATGTCAGATGTCAGGGGCTACATGGATACATAAAAAAAACAAAGCAATCATCACAAAATAAATCAGAACCAAACTATTCTAGATGAAGCAGGAGCCTTCTCTGGCACTCCCTGAAGGTGTCCTCAGTTGACAGCCACTTTTCCAGCATTAGTATTCCATGACTTGTGACGGCTTTGTTCCGTGTCTACTTAGGGAAACTGAAACTAGGTTGCAGAATTCCCTTTCCTGTAAGGCTTCCAGGTTAGAGTGAGCACAAGAGAAATTTACATGAGATTTGGAAAGGAGAGTGAAGCAATGACTACTTTCATGCTTTGAGAGTTGGTAGAGCACATCAGACACTGTGGCAGCTCACAAACAATGTTACTATCTGTCAGCTTATCTTGTTGGAATGAGAAAGCACCCAGGCCCATAGCTCCTCCAATGCCTGCTGGAAATCCTTCTCTGGCTTCCCTGAGTCCTGAACTGGGTGATTGCACAGCTATGAGCAAAGGGCACCCACTTCTACTACAGGTCACTCACATCATGGAGGCTGGAGGCAGCAAGAGACAAACACAGGTTTCCATTTGTCCTTGCTTTGCTGACTTCACACCCAGCTTTCCTTCCTTACCATTGGACTGGTTGATTTTAGGTCCAATGCCAGAAACAAAGGCAACAGTCTTGCACAGACTTCTCCATCGGTGGCCATGATTTTGTGTGGTTATCATCATCCCTTATTCTACATGACTCTTAAAAGTCATGATTCTCTGAAAAGCTCCTGACTGATACATGCTCAAGATTTCTAGCTTTGGAGTTCTATGCTAGGAGGCAAGGGCTGTTACAAAGAGAGATGGACAGCATTCCAATAGCAGTCAGATATGGCCAAGGGACAAGCTTGTGTCTGATTCTCTTTGCCTGCCTCAGAGTCTTAGGTGAGTGCGATCAAGTGTTCATAGCCCACAAGAGCAGTGCTAGGGTAGGAAGATCTAGAGCTGGTGGCAAGTGGCCAAGGAGCTATTAACCAAGCAGACTGGGATGTCATTACCAAAACTGCAGGCCAGATTCAGCTTCTGAGGGGGCCAGAGTCATAGTTAAGATGACGTACATGTGGACCAAATTTGAGTCATAAGACAAGAAGAGAAAATAACTCAAGTAGTAAAGAGAGTGTTAAAAAGAAGCAGAGAACATGATATTCCAGGTGGAGGGTGAGGACACAGTCAGGAGATAGAGGGTGTGGGCAGGTATGTGTGGAGTGCCTACCGAGGCAGCTGTGGAGCTGTGCCTAGCTGAACAGCCCTGACCCTGCCGGGCACTACCAGCACCACACTATATACCATGTATTATATTCATTGCTTTACACACTATCTCACTTAATTTTCACAGCTACCACAACAAAATCTCAAGATTTTATTATGCCATTTTTGCCAGATGATGAAGCTGAGGTAGAGAGGCTAAGTAATTGCCCAAGATCACTTTAGAAAAGAAATTAAAAGACAGGAATTTGAATTCAGATCTATCTCTTTAATCCAAGTTCCATTACACCTTTTAAGATCCAAGCTTTCTAGGCTTAACAAAGAAAAACCTTTGAGTGACCTGATAAATATTTATAGAATCAAATCCTCCAGCCTCTGTCAAGGCTTCAGTTGATGACAACCTCAGGTTAAGCTGCTCACCAATTCCTGACCCACTGACACGGTGAGAGAATAAACGCTTACCATTTAAGCCACTAAGTGTTGGGTAATTTGTACTCAACCATTGATAACTAACACATTGATCTTTTATTAAGCAAGGAGGATGGGCATGGAGGCTTGAATGAAAGGAGGAAGATGTGACTTATGGAAAGCCCCAGGAAAGGCTGACAAAAAGAGAAAGAAGAAGAAATTCTCTTCTGGCTCAAGGGATTTTGTCAAGACCCAGACATGGCGGGAGACAGGTTGGGAAACAAATAAAATCCTCACCTCCTGTCTTGCGTTAAAGTCCTTGAGTTTTCTGAGACAGATTAAGGGAATGGGGGAGTTCCTGTTTGGGTCTACAGGAGGCAAATGTCTCTGTAACAAGCCTGGGCTCTCAGCTCTCATGTGGTATGGAAAAGACCAAAAAGTTCCCCCAACTCCCCAAAGGAGGAAGAGGAGGTTGTTGAGAGTCTGGCTGGGCAGTTGCCAGAGAAGGTTGTCACTGTGGCCATGAGGCTGAGCGACCCTGACCAGGGTCAAATAGGAATCACCACCAGATGCCAGGAGCACCAGTTCCAGCAGGAGCTGAGGAGGAGCCGAGACTGCAGGAAGGAGTGCTGGGTGCCATGAAATAGAGAACATAGCACAAGTTATGCTAGTGACAGACTCTAGCATTAAATGTCAACAAAAAAAGACCCACCACATACTACCCAAGAACCAGCAGGAACTTAGGGGTCCCCATTCTCATCCCAAAGTGTGAAGGCAGCTGAGCCTCTAAAGCACCAGGCTAGTGAAGAGAACTGGCGAGGACAGCAAGAGAGAAAGGCTGAAAGAGTAAGTCACCCCAAAATGAGGGTCAGTTCCAGGATTCCTTAAGGTGCCTGACTAGACTAAATTCATTTTCTTTCCTTCACTATCCAGTGGAAGGTGAGGGTGAGGCTTGAGAGAAAAATCACATAAGTTATAGACAACAGTGAAGCTACCGTTTCTTGGCATTTCTAAACCTAGTGTGAGTAAATACATGACTCCAATTCAGATGCTATAAAAGCATTCTATGAAGATTTATGGAGGTTCAAAGCAGGACTCTGTGCTGGATCTAGAATATGAGAAGCAGAGGCAACCCTAGAAATTATCTAATCTCTGGTATTTCTCTCTATTTGTGCCTTATGGGAGGGTACCAATGTCCCTCCTCCCTTGGCCCATGACCCACCAAGCTCTAAGAGCTGGTATTAAAAAGGTGGACATTGGCTTTGTCAAACACACTATTTGGGAATGATAGCTCTTGGCACTATTTTAAAGGGCTATCACCAAGCCATCAGCCCTGATACATGTAGCTCCTAGAAACAGCATGCAGAAATAAGAGTGTAGCACATTTGTTTTGTAGGTCAGAAGCCAACCCTTGTTTTATTAAAATGTGTACAAGAGATGGGGAAGGAAAAGGACCAGACTGTACTGCGGCCATGTACACAAAAGCAGGTACCACATCCAGGCTCTGCTGCCCTGGGCTGTGCCACAGGCAGCTCTCTTGAACTTGAGAGCCTCTAAATGGGTCTCATGAAGCCCAGATCTTCCCTAGTCAAGCTGATGGCATTCATGTCACTGAAAGGTGGGGAAGGCCACCAGGTCAATAGAGTGGAGAGGTTTTCTAATATGGTCTTCTTTGAAGAAACTTAGTTCTTGCAAGCCCTGGCATCTTCCAATTGTCTGTCCTAGTAGTGGAGGAGGCATCAGCCTATGAGCAGTGGAGGTCTACTCACCCTTCACTGAGTTTTGTCCCTGAAGTCAGAAGCCCTGGCACAGCCAAGTTCACAGGCAAAATCACACTTCAGGTCGCCACTGCTTCAGACAACAACACATGTACAGATGGATGCACAGAAACGCTTCTCAAGGAGGGTGTGAGCCTGGTTCATTTCATGTTTCTTTCAATCCAGTCTTTAAAAAGTAGCACCTTGGTGAAGGCAGTGGAGAGGATGTGGCTGCATGTTTTATCATAGCTCCAGCTGACAAGTCCCACCAGATGCCAACGTGGCTCAAGGGATGCTTGTCCTGGAAAGGACACAGCTGCAATGCCTCCTGTCTCTGCAGTGCAGATATCAGAAGGGGCAGTGGGGTCCTGTCTGGCACAGAACATGTTATCGGTGACACTCACTGGGATGCCATGGTCCTCATGCTGCTCCTCACACAGCAGCGAGTCCACCACGCTGACCACCCCGGAGCGCAGTGTGTCATTCTTGAAGCCAGGGCTCCTCACGTCTGCCAAGACATTCCAGCCAGCCACAGTGATGTGGGACTCCTGGAAGGAAGTACTGAGGTCCCGACTGGCAGCGAGGCAGATGGGCTGAACTCGGGTGCTGATGCGGGCTTTGTCTAGGAGCTTCAGGATGGCGATGTCAGTGTCAAGCAGGATAGGATCGTAGTTGGGATGCAGAATAATAGCAGAAATCTACAAATGCAAGGAATGGGCAGTGATAGTGAGGAGCCACCTTGACAGTGGACAGGAACAGGCAAGCCTTGGGGATAAATTATTGGGAGAAAATGTCTAAGAGGCAGCTACAATTATTTGGAGACACTTTGCTGAAAGAATCATGGAAAGCAACTGATCTACTTCCAGGGTTGCAAACTGAAACGCCTCCTAGGCGTGAGGTAGGGAGGCAGGGAAAGACAGCCTCCTAGGGTCTGGAAGAGGGGATTAAATAAGCGAAATGGACAATTGAGGCTGCGCACCCATCCAAGGTGGCCAGTGGCCACGTCACTGCAGTCAAACACTCTATGCTGAAGTGGGAGCAGCTTTCTAGTTTTGCCAGAAAGTGAATTCCAAATCTTTATCTGAAATATCTTGATGTTAAACAATGCTTGCAAATAAATAAATGATTTAAAATATGTGTCAGCACCATCAAGGCACAAACCCTCACAGGCTAAGTTTTCAGCCTCTGGTCCTCTGTAAACATTTCATTTACCTTCAAGCCAGCAAATAGAGCTATGCTCAGCATGTTCCCCAAGACTTTTCCGCAAAGTCTTTCCTGATTTTCCCAGTCCTTGCTGGTCATGCCTTTTGATGGGCGCCTCTAGGAGCACATGTCTTGTAAAATTTTTAGGTATATGTTCTATTACCTCAATCTCCTTTGAGTACATTGCCTTGGGATTTCTCTTGTGTCACACTGATCATGATAGATTGGTCTGTCTCTCCCACTCAACTGTGGACTTTTCAGAGAAAATAAAATATGTCCTGTTCTTTTCTGTGTCTACTTACAGTGAATGGCACATTGTGGTGGCTCAACAGTAGATGGATGGGTAGGTGGATAGATGGAGAGATGGATGGATGGATGGATGGATGGGTAGATGGAGGGATAGATGGATGGATGGATGGATGGAGGAATGGATGGATAGACGGACAGATGGACAGATGGATAGACAGATGGGTTGGTGAATAAAAGAGAGGTAGGGAGGCAGGGAAAGATAGACGTATATTGTAAATTTGTTAGGAGTATATCTTGGGTAAAACATCTCTGTCCTCAAAGCCTACCTAGGAAAGTGCCCAAATGTTATAGGTAATTAACCTTTTTTTTTTTTTCAAAAATATTTATTGATAATCTATTTTGAGCCAGGCACTGTGCCACACAGTGATGGTACAGTGACAAATCACAAAATTCATAGAGCTAACAGTTTGAGGCAGAGCCAGCCACTAAACAAATAATGTCACTAATTTTTAATTTGTCACAGTTTATGACATACACTACTAGGTGACATACATTACTAGGAGAAGTACATTTTACTCTTAGGTGATTAACTTTGATGACCAAAATGATAGATGACATTTGCCTCTATCTTGTTTATAAAATAATCAAGATGGAAAAAAGACTCCACAATCTTTCTAGATGCTCCTGTCTAGTATCTGTCAATGTGAAATATTGAATACTCCTACTTGCCAGGCTCCAGGCTGGCTGCTGACATGCTAAGGGGACAGGGCTTGGCATAGTCATTGCTCTCCCATGCTTGGAGTTTTTTGAGCCAGAGCCCCAGCTTCCATGTATAAGCCCCCTCTTACCCGCAGGCTCTGGATGGTCTTCTCATCCCGGTCATCGTCCCGGTAGAATTTCCCCAAAACAACTTTCAGGTCTGCTGTCTTGATCATGGCGACCTTCCCCAGGTCGGTAACACAGTGGGCAGCCACGACCACAGTGCGTTCATTCACCAGGGCACCGCTGCAGATCAGGAACCATGCTCCCTTGTGTAGGCCGCCATCATGCACCCCGCTGGTCCTCCTATAGATGGCCGCCTGCCACGGCCAGCGCAAACCTTGGGTCTTCAGAGCAGTAACATTCTCAATTTTCCCGCAGACTATGGAGAAAGTACCAATTTAGTAAGATAAATTCAGACTTTACATCCAAAGGAGAATCTGTCATTCAACCAGAGAGCACAAATCCGAAAGGTGAACCCTATGGGTATGATGACCACTAAGCCATGTAACCTGGTTTTCTTCTCCCTTTAAATATTAATGAACTCTCCTTGACACGGCTGGCGGTAAAGGCTAGGGCTAAAATTGGAGACTTTGCAGTCAAATGAAATCTGAGTTCTGATCCCAGGCACTAACTATCAATAGGACTTTGGGTAAGTTCTCTAATCTGTTAGAGCCTCTGTCTTCTTGCCTGTAAAATGGATAGAGCAATAACAATGGTCTCACAGAGCTCTTGAGGAGACTGAATGAGATGGTACATGTAAACAAACTCAAAATATCATGACTATCCTCATAGACATGACAACAATGAACTAAACCACACTGTTCTCCTTTCACAAAGAGGATGGGGAAGGCAGCTTAGTAGCTGCAGGCCCCTAATCCAGATACTTCCACATATTATCTCAGTATTCATCATCATAACCTTATGATGTAATTAATGCTTCATTATATTTTTTGATTTTTGAAGCAGAGACTCACTCTGTCACTCAGGCTGGAGTGCAGTGCCATGATCTTGGCTTACAGCAACCTCTGCCTCCAAGGTTCAAATGATTCTCCTCTCTCAGCCTCCCAAGTAGCTGGGTTTACAGGCATGTGTCATCACGCCCTGCTAATTCTTTTTTTTTTTTTTTTTGTCTGTCTTTTCAGTAGAGACAGGGTTTGACCACAGTGTCCAGGCTGGTCTTGAACTCCTGACCTCAAATGACCCACTCACCTTGGCCCCCCCAAAGTGCTGGGATTACAGGCGTGAACCACTGGTCCTCAGCCTAGTACCTCATTGCTTAATAATAAGTACCCAATTGGTATCATTGGTTGATGAGTGTAAAAACGGGGGCTTAAACAGGGTAGCAAAGATTATATATCTTGAGGCCCTGTGGCACCTTTAACCCCTTTCTATACTTTGTGACTTAATGACCCTTCCCTCCAAGTAAACATGATAGAATCACCCGAGAAAGTATGACTCTAGGATTTAATGAGTCAATTTCTCCTGAGTAGTAAGGTTAACCCAAAAGGAAAAATCTATGGAATTTCAGATATCACCAAACTAGAGAAAGCATTGGAGATGCTTTCCCAAAAAGTCTTCAACAGAGTTAATGGTTTTTCACAGGCAGCCGTGAAAGATGGAAAATGCTCCAGCCCAAGAATGAGCCTTGACTCACTAGGGATGCAGGATGGTGCCCGCCCACTCCACTTCCCAGTCCTCAGACATGTCCTCCGGCTGCTGCCCAGGCGGCGGTAGAAGGGTGAGATGCACTCATACTGGAGCTGGGTGTGCAGATGTTGGTATCCCGTGGGCAGATCGCCAAAGGGAAGGGCTGGCTTCTTGGTAGGGGCGCTCTGCAGTTTCTGCTTGCTGAAGGCCGCTGAATATAGCTGATGTAGTGGTGTCTCCCTGGGTCAGGACACATGGGCCCAGAGAAAGAGCAGGGTGAGAGACAGTCATTGTGGCCTCTTTAGCATTCATGCTATGTCCCATGTAGATACTTGGTTACAGAAACAGAGAAAAATCTCTCTCTTTCTCTCTCTCTCTCTCTCTCTTTCTCTCTCTCTCTCACCCTCTCTCTCTCTCTCTCTCTCTCTGTCTCTCTCTCTGTCTCTTGAGGCAGAGTCTCCCTCTGTTACCCAGGAGTGCAGTGATGCAACCTTGGCTCACTGCAACCCCCACCTCCTGGGTTCAAGCAATTCTCATGCCTCAGCCTCCCAAATAACTGGGAATACAGACATGTGACACCATGCCCAGCTAATTTTTGTCTTTTTGTAGAGATGAGTTTTCATCATGTTGGCCAGGCTGATCTTGAACTCCTGGACTCAAGCAGTCCACCTACCTTGGCCTCCCAAAGTGCTGGAATTACAGGTGTGAGCTACCCCGCCCATCCAAAAATGGCTATCTTATTCTATTTCTCTGTCTCTGTTTCTGTCTCTCTGTTTCTCTGTTTCTGTTTCTCTCTCTCTCTGTCTCCCTCTCTCTCTCTCCCTCCCTCTTTCTCTCTCCTTTTCTCTCTCCCCCCTCTCTCTCTTTCTCTCTCTCTCACACACACACTTCACCTCTCCCACTGAGCAAATTCTCTTGCACACTTCAATCTTCATTTTATTTCTCCATGTCTATTACTGGCATGATTCCAACTGCTTAAGATTTTAACCAAAGAGAATAATATCTGGCATAATAGCTGCTATCCAAAGGTACATTATACATGCACACACAAAGAAATTAATTGCAACATTAAACAGAAAAGGGAGTTAATTTGAATAAGAGACATCTAGATATTGTTTTTCTCCAAATATTATCATAATGGGGCAATATTAGGAATTGACTCGAACTAAACCATGTTGATACAGTAGCTTGATTTAGCAATTAGCAGATGTAATTAGTACACCTCAGAGAATAGAACTTTCTCTCGGGGCACATTGATTGGGAGAAATATGAAGTGTTATGTATGCATGGGAAAAAGGAATATTAAATGAGCCCTGAAGCTGGAGCCCCCAGAGACCACTCAGGGATTCTTGGGGAAGATGAACACACATCTTGCAGGTTGTGTTCATTTTCTATTGGTACCTAATGACTACCAACTGAAAAGTTGAAATTCCTTTAGGAACCTATGTTTTCATCCCTGTTTAATGAATGGAGAAAGCAAGCCCAGAGAGGTAAGTGGAAGTGCGCAGAGCCACGCAGTAAAGAAACTTGGTACCCAAGGCAGTGCTTAGCAATCACAATTTCCACCCTGGTGTCCCCACCACACCAATATGATATTGTCATAAGAAATCTATTTTATATACAGTGTTTGGCCCAGAGCAAATATTCCAACAAATCTTTGATTTTGATTTCATTCAACAAATCTTAGCTCATGTTTATAACCAGGTCTATAGCTCAGGGCGGTCTTGAACTTGCAAAGAAGTTCCTCCCTTGCCCATACAAGGTCTACAGTAGGCTCTTGGGTGAGGAGCTGGCTGCTGGAGATAGGAATACCTTCCACTTCAGCAGCCTGTCTTCCCAAAAGATACTTAAAACCAAGTTTCGGTCTTGCTTTTTCATTTACTTGAGAAACCTGGCACTTTGCCTCCCAACCTCCCATTAATATTGCTTTAAAAACAGGAAACCCAGGAGTCTTTTTGAATAGTGCAGGAGCCACTCTACAGCATGTCTCTTTGGGAAGAACAGGTTGGTCCCACTTATTGGAGAGTCCAGCCTAAGGAAATCACACAGATCAGGAAAGAGGGCAGAATTTGAATTTCACTGCCACCGTTTCCAAGGAAATGCCTTGCCCTTGAAAGGGAAAAGACAAAAATGGAATGAGACAGCCCGAGGAGGGGTGAGAGACTGATGGATATTCTGACTTATGAATATTTCAGGGAACTTGGCTGTGGTCACCAGAATTCAGTTACTATTTCTAACAATAGGTTAGAAATCACTGCCTGATGATTATGTGTCCAAGGTGCTTTGCCAGGATCTTTACATAAGACTCAAAGTCTAGTGCATAAGACAGCAGTCCATGAAGCCAGATACTGAATTTACATCCTGGCTTTGCCACTTCTAGCAATGTGACATTGGACAGTTACTTAATGCCTCTGAGCCTCGGTTTACTCTTCTGTAATATAAATGGCAATAAAATCTGTAATAAAATGGTGATAATAAAAATACCTACCTCAGAGGTTATAGTGAGGATTAAATGAACTAAGGCATGCAAAGTACTCAGAAGAGCAACTGACATAGAGCAAACATACAACAAATGTTTAGTTGCACAAAACATTAGTGTTGCATATAATCCTTAAAACAATCCCCAGAGACAGATTTTTGTGATTATCCCTACGTTCAAAAGAAAAAAAACTAATGCTCAGCAGGTTTAGGAACTTGCCAAGAATACCTAGCACTAAAGACAGAGGCAGACTTGGGCCCTGAACCTTTGTCAATCGAATTCATTCACTCAGTAAATACTTACTGAGTGCCTACTATGTGGGAGGTATGTTTTAGGCACTAGAACTTTCAGCATGAACAAAACATATCATGTTCCTGCACGTGTACCTTTCACATTTTGGAGAGGGTAAGGGAGACAGAAATTAAATAAATATAACCTTAAAAATTATGTAAGACAGCAGGTGGAGAGGGATGCTAACATAAAAACAGAAACAGAGTAAAGGCTAGAGAATTCTGGGTAAAGAGGTCTACTAGACAGTCAGGGTGAAGATAGAATTGCTATCTTTAAAAGGATAGTTAGGGACAGTCTCTCTGTTAGGCAAAAACTTAGCAAAGAACTGAAAAGAGTGAGGCATTAGCCTCACTGAGATCCTGTAGAAGCAGGTTCCAGACAGAAGAAGTCACAGTTCTTTCTAAAGCAGAACTGTGCTTGGACTGATAGAGGAAAACCAAGGAGGCCCGTGTCGCTGGACTGGAGAGAGGGAGGAGGAGAATGCAGAAGAGATGAGTAGAAAGGGACTACTCCTCCCCACCAGGTGGACCCCACCTTTGTCTTCCCAGGAGAAAAGCTGGGCACACCAGAGGGCTCACATCCCTCTGCATGGCTGGTCAGTTGTCTCTAGTCCCTGGGCTCCCCCAGCCTACCTCATCTCATTAGTTACTTCCAAGCATATCTTCCTAAATTATAGCTGGCTGTATTTAACAGAAATGTCATCTCCCTAGAAGCTGTCATAACAAGTACATAGTAATTTCAGGAAGACTCAAGGATTCAAGTCCATTTTCTCAAAGATCATCTGAAAGTCTTGCTTTCTACTGGCCATGTACTTTCCCACGATCTAGTGCAATTTGTCCATCTTCCAACAGTTGCTACCTCTTGGCTAAAAGCAGCTGGCTAATAAGCTTCCATCTAACAAGCCCTATTCTTTCATGACCAGTTAGCACTAAATGTCCCTAAGAAACCTCAGGCTGTCTTCAGCCAAACACAAGTAGGGAAGGGAAATGGAAGGGGAAATACTCATTAGCCTTTAGGGCAGAGTGCAGGTGCTTCATCCTCACCTTGACTGCACCTGCATTGGAAGAACTCTCCTTCTCACCAAGTCTGAAATCTTTGGTTCTCGGCAGGCTAGAAATAAAAAAGACACTGCTGCACAATCCTTTTTCATATTCACTGTTCACATCATTCAGTTCAGATTCATACCTGACCCCTACTTCTGGACACCCGGTGCCCATTCCCCAGGCTCTCAGAGGCAAGACACATCAGCCAAGCTTGAACATCTCACTTTACAAAAGAGCTTGCTGCCTTTCATCTTGATTGACAGTACCCTCTGAAGAATCCAAAAAGAGCAGATGCCTCTGAAGGGCTGCCCCACCTGAGTGATTTGGGACAATGGCATCATAGATTAGGATCATCTGTTTGTGAACAGAATTAGCAAACTTGATGAAAATGGAATAAAAGTCAAAGTGAAGGCTCTAAAACCTAGCCCCCATGCAGAATTAGAAGGTTCTCTTTTGACACCAGACAGCAGTGTCAACCATAGATAAGTCTTGGAAAATTGATTCCTCCGTGTTCATTCTCTGCCGTTAAGGCCCCTAACAATCACTTGAGGGCAATTCAAAGCCCAGTTTAATTTTGTTGAAGTCTCTCTTTCTTCACCAGTGAAAAGGAATCCTTCCCATCTCACTTTCCCAATCAGGCAGCCAACATTCATCTAATTAGCAACTTAGAGAACTTTGGTTGTATTAATTTGTAAGAGAAGAGTGGACAAAAATCTCCAAGGACATATGTGACACCATTCCCATACTTAATGAAATAAAAATCAGAATTTGTGCCGGTGGGGATGAAGGTCGCTTCTGGCTAAAGTCTAAAGTGATTTATTCCTTTCACAAACCATTCCCTTTCATTCCTTTTCCCATGATTCAGGTTGTTGACAAACACCCAGAAGGCAGAGTGGAGGATTAAGGCAATTATCTGGATAATCTAGGACAAGGACATGTTTTCTTCCCAATAAACAGCCAGATCATTGTGGCCTGCCCCCAAATAGAGACATTGTTAATCTGAAGCAACTAGTGAGTCAATTCAGTGAGAAACTACGCATCCCCACTGCCAATGGGGAAGGTTCAAATTTCTCTATACAGTAGTCCACTTTTCTGTCCAACCTACATATTTAAGTTTACCTCCTAGATTCCCAAATTGCCTCACTTTTAGTTTACCATGATGACTTCACTTCTGCCTACACCTCTTTTCTTTTCCGCTGTCTTCCATCTGGAATACCAACCCAACTCCTCTTCACATCTATAAATCCTCCCCAGCTTTCCAGACTGGCTCCAGTCCTACTGGATTCATGCCGTTGTCCCTATTTCAGAAACATCTATCTCTCCTTTTGCTGAACTTACACCACTCATCTCATCCTATAACTATCCCTTGAATCTACAAGGGTTTACTCTCTTTGTTTTTAAACATCTTCAATCTTAACAACTTCAATCCTCCCCCTCTATACGCTGGCAGGGATGATGCATCTATTTTTTTCTTTTATTTCTTGCATCAGCTTAATATTGCATAGAGCTATGTAAATGCTTATACATTGCCTCAATTCTATACTTGGATTTGCATATATTAAACATAGCCCTGTCATCTTTCCTAAACTGCTCTGATAACTATATTCCTCTTCTTGATCACCTCAAGGTGTTGTGATTAGGGAAAGCAGGTCCTCTTGTGGTCCCCGACCCCCCAAAGAAGAGGCAAATGTTTTCAGGATGGTTTCCAAACTCAGAGTTATATATGGTTTCAGAAAGAACTTAAGAGAGAAAGGCATTTTTTCCAGGTGCTCAGAAACATGCAAAGGAGCTACCAAAGAGTCTAGCAACTTCATCTATGTCTATAGACTTCAGAAACCATTGTAAATTACCTTTTATGCAGATGGGCTGTTTCCCTGACCACTCTCCATTCTGCTGACAAGTTCTTTTCTCATTGCCACTAAGCACATAGGAGTTGTTACAAAAGAAGGACATGATGGTACCGATTTTAGCAGAGTGTCCATTGATAAGTCCGGGGCCTCCTGTTATTTTCCTGTACCCATTGACTGGAACCCCAGGATCTGAGCAGTTGCTTTCTTCAAGTACTAAAAGAAAGTAAAAGAGAAGGAAAATTGTTAAAAGTCTGAGTTGTTCCATTTTAGAATAGAATCTTTCATGTTTCATTGAACTAAAAATACAATGATATAGGACCTGGTGCTCAAAAGAATTACTAAAAGAAATCTTTTAATAGAAAATGCATGTATTAGATATGCCTTTCCCTTGTTTTCATAATTTATTCTTAATTGAGAAATATCTCATTCTATAGATGAATAAATTTGATGCCAAATCTGGTTTTCACATCATCTTGTTGTTCATTTCTTCCTTAAACTGATGGAGCTAGACAGCCCTGGATAAAATAAATATCTCACTTAAATTTTATTACTGGTATACAAGGATTATTGTTTTTCAGTGTTATTGTATTATCTCCTTCATTCTTTAAAGCTTGGGCAATCAAAAACTATTCAATATCCTATTTGTATTGTACCCAGAAAGTAGAGCTGCTTAGAATTAAGAGTATACACATGAAGTGAATTTAGATTTTATATTTAATCTCTAGGAAAATAAGATTATTTTCCTAGAGATTAAATATAAAATCTAAATTCACTTCATGTATGTACTGAAATGTTGAAAGCTATAGTTAAAAATAGTGGAGAAAAATATGTTGAAAGCTATAGTTAAAAAATACTAGAGAACAATAAAATTGTAGAGATAACAATAAATTTTCCTTGTTCTACAAATATAATTTTCCATCTAAGTATTTGATATTTATTACAGAAGTATTTCTATTCTTTGACTCCTGTTGAACAGCTACTTAAAGTAGAAATAGCTTCAGCAGCTCTTCTGAGCACTAAACAGGATTTTTAGATATATTCTGGAAATATAGGTAACATATTTCTTTCAAATATAGGTAACATATTTATCTCAAATAGATTATGTCTCTGTACTGAATATGACTTGCCTAAGTAAACAGAGTCCCCATAGAATTCAAACTTTAACTACTTGATTTGGGTACCAATCACTCCATCAGACTCTATCAGCCTCCCTACTTTCTTTTCTCTTTGCTTTCTTTTTTTAGACATGGTCTCACTCTGTCACTTAGGCTGGAGTGTAGTTGCACAATCTCGGCTCATGGCAACCTCTATCCCCCAGAGTCAAGTGATCCTCCCACCTCAGGCTCCTGAGTAGCTGGGACCACAGGCACACACCAGCTAATTTTTGTATTTTTTAGTAGAGATGGGGTTTCACCATGTTGCCCGGGCTGGTCTTGAACTCCTAAGGTCAAGCCGTCCAACTTGGCCTCCCAAAGTGCTGGGATTACAGGTGTAAGTCACCACAACTGACTCCTAGTTTCTTTTTTTTATAAATAATTTCAACTTTTATTTTAGATTCAATGGGTACATGTGCAGAATTATTACCTGAATATATTGCATGATGGTGACCTTTGGGGTACAATTGATCCTGTTACACGGGCATTGATCATAATGTCAGCTAGTTAGTTTTCAACCCTTGCCACCTTTTCTCTCTCCTCCTCTAATGGATTCCCTGGTTTCCCTAAAATCATTTATTCTAAGACACAGGCTCATCCCTATAAAACAGTCTCTGTGCAATGCAATGATGCTTTTTTCCCCTCCTTTTCTTCTTTTTAAGTTTCGGGATACATGTGAAGGACGTGCAGGTTTCTTACATAGGTAAACGTGTGCCACGGTGGTTTGCTGCACCTATCAACCCATCGTCTGGGTATTAAGCCCCACATGCATTAGCTATTAATCCTGATGCTCTCCCTCTCCCCATACCCCACCGCCAACGGACTCCAGTGCATGTTATTACTCTCCCTGTGTCCATGTGTTCTCGTCATTCAGCTCCCACTTGTGAGTGAGAACACGAAGTGTTTTGTTTTCTGTTCCTGCATTAGCCTGCTGAGGATAATGGCTTCTAGCTTCATCTGTGTCCCTGCAATGGATATGATCTTGTTCTTTTTTATGGCTGCATGGTGCTCCATGGTGTATTATGTATCATATTTTCTTTATCCAGTGTATCACTGATGGGCATTTGGGTTGATTCCACATCTTTGCTATTGTGAGTAGAACTGCAATGAACATACATGTGCATGTATCTTTATAATAGAATAATTCATATTCCTTTGGGTATACACCCAGTAATGGGATTGCCGGGTCAAATGGTATTTCTGGTTCTAGGTCTTTGAGGAATTGTCACACTCTTTTCCACAATGCTTGAACTAATTTACCAACATTGTAAAAGTGTTTCTATTTCTCCACAGCCTTTGCAGCAGCTGCTGTTTCTTGACTTTTAAATACTCGCCATTATGACTGGTGTGAGATGGTATCTCATTGTGGTTTTTAGTTGCATTTCTCTAATGATCAGTGATGTTGAGCCTTTTTCATGTTTGTTGGCTGCACAAATGTCTCTAAAATTCATAAGGAACTGAAAAAGAGCCCATATAGCCAAGACAATCCTAAGTAAAAAGAACAAAGCTGGAGGCATCATGCTAACTGACTTCAAATTATACTACGAGGTTATAGTAACCAAAACAGCATGGTACTGGTACAAAACCAGTACCTTTGAGAAGTGTCTATGTCCGTGGCCCCTTTTTAATGGGATTGGGTTTTTTTCTTGCAAAGTTGTTTAATTTCCTTGTAGACTCTGAATACTAGACCTCTGTCAGATGAATAGGTTGCAAAAATTTTCTCCCATTCTGTAGGTTGTGTGTTTGCTCTGATGATAGTTTCTTTTGCTGTGCAAAAACTCTTTTGTTTAATTAGATCCAGTTTGTCAATTTTTGTTTTTGTTGCAATTGCTTTTGACATTTTTGTCACGAAATCTCTGCCTGTGCCTTTGGTCTATGTGGTATTCCCTAGATTTTCTTCTAGGGTTTTTATAGTTTTGGGTTTTAAATTTAAGTCATTATTCCATCTTGAGTTAATTTTTGTATAAAGTATAAGGAAAGGGTCCAGTTTCAATTTTCTGCATATGGCTAGCCAGTTCTCCCAGCACCATTTATTAAATAGGGAATCTTTTCCTCATTGCTTGTTTTTGTCCGGTTTGTCAAAGATAAGATGATTGTAGATGTGTATTCTTATTTCTGAGGTCTCTGTTATGTTCCATTGGTCTATGTGTCTGTCTTTGTACCAGTACCATGCTGTTTTGGTTACTGTAGCCTTGTATAGTTTGAAGTCAGTTCGTGTGATGCCTCCAGCTTCATTCTTTTTGCTTAGGATTGTCTTGACTATATGGGCTCTTTTTTTGGTTCCTTATGAATTTTAAAGTAGTTTTGTTTAATTCTGTGAAGAATGTCAATGGCAGTTTAATGGGAATAGCATTGAATCTATAAATTACTTTGGGCAGTATGGCCACAATATTGATTTTTCCTATTCATGAGCATAGACTGTTTTTCCATGTGTTTGTGTCCTCTCTGATTTCCTTAAGCAGTGGTTTGTAGTTCTTGAAGAGGTCCTTCACTTCCCTTGTTAGCTGTATTCCTAGGTATTTTATTCTCTTTACGGCAATTGTGAATGGAAGTTCATTCATGATTTGACTCTCTGCTTATCTGTTGTTGGTGTATAGGAATGCTTGTGATTTTTGCACATTGATTTTGTATCTTGAGACTTTGCTGAAGTTGCTTATCAGCTTAAGAAGCTTTGGGGCTGAGATGATGGAGTTTTCTCAATATAGGATTATGCCGTCCACAAACAAAGACAATTCAACTTCCTCTCTTCCTGTTTGAATATACTTTATTTATTTTTCTTGCCTGATTTCCCTGGTCAGAACTTCCAGTACTATGTTGAATAGGAGTGGTGAGAAAGGGCATTTTTGTCTTGTGCCAGTTTTCAATGGCAATGCTTCCAGCTTTTGCCCATTCAGTATGATATTGGCTGTGAGTTTGTCATAAATGGTTCTTATTTTGAGGGATCTTCCTTCAACACCAAGTTTATTGAGAGTTTTTAACAGGAAGTGATGTTGAATTTTATCAAATACCTTTTCTGTGCTTATTTAGATAATCATGTGTTTTTTTATCTTTAGTTCTGTTTATGTGATGAATTATGTTTATTTATTTGCATATGTTGAACCAGCCTTGCATCCTGAGAATGAAGCCAACTTGATCGTAGTGGAAAAGCTTTTTGATGTGCTGCTGGATTTGGTTTGCCAGTATTTTATTGAGGATTTTTGCATTGATGTATATCAGGGATATTAGACTGAAGTTTTGTTTTTTTGTTGCATTTCTGCCAGGTTTTGTTTTCAGGATGATGCTGACCTCATAAAATAAGTCAAGGAGAAGTCCTTCTTTTCCATTGTTTTGAATAGTTTCAGAAGAAATGGTACCAGCTCCTCTTTGTACTTCTGGTAAAATTCAGCTATAAATCTATCTGGTCCTGGGCTTCTTTTGGTTGGTAGGATATTTATTACTGCCTCAATTTCAGAACTACTTATTGGTCTATTCGGGGATTCTGATTCTTCCTGGTTCAGTCCTGGGAGGTTGTATGTGTCCAAAAATTTATCCATTTATTCTAGATTTTCTAGTTCATTTGTATAGAGGTGTTCATAGTATTCTCTGATGTTGGTTTGTATTTCTGTGGAGTTAGTGGTGATATCCCCTTTACCATTTTACATTGTGTCTATTCTATTTGATTCTTTAACTATTCTCTCTTTCCTTCTTTATTAATCTAGCTAACTATCTGTTTCATTCTTTTTTTTTTTTTTTTCCAAAAAACCATCTCCTGGATTTGTTGATTTTTTGAAGGGTTTTTGTGTGTGTCTCTATCTCCTTCAGTTCTGCTCTGATCTTGGTTATTTCTTGTCTTCTGCTAGCTTTGGGGTTTGTTTGTTCTTGGTTCTCTGGTTCTTTTAGTTGTGATGTTAGGATATCAATTTGAGATCTTTGTAGCTTTTTGATGTGGGCATTTACTGCTATAAATTTCTGTCTTAACATTGCTTTAACTGCATCTCCGTGATTCTGGTATGTTGTATCTTTGTTCTCATTAGTTTCAAAGAAATTCTTGATTTCGGCCTTAATTTCATTATTTACCCA